ACGATGCGAATATTCATATTTTATTTTATTTAGAGAGAGCTTGATATTAAAATATATTAATCGCTCAATAATAATGTAATAATTCCTAAAGTAAATATTAATATATTAAAATATAGTATTTTACATTAATATTATAAATAAAAGTGAATACATTTATTTTATAAAATTAGTAAAACTGATAAAACTAAGATTAAGAAGTTTATCTTTCTTCTCAGTTTTATTAATTTTTCTATATATAAATAAGATGCACTATTTTAATTAAGATGACACACACAGATACATATACTGTATATGTGTATGTGTGTCGTTAGTGTGGCCGTCATTTAGAGGTTTGACTGTATATAATAATAATACAGTCAACCTCTAAACGAAGGAACTGAAAATGGCTGTTTAGAGGTGTCCGTTATTGGAAGTTCGACTGTATATGCGTATAGAGGCCTATACAGTATATATGTTTTTGCTTATATTTAAATTTTATATATAATTACTGTAAATTTTTATATATAATTAAACAATATTTTTTTACTTTTTTAAATTACTATATAATAGATAAAAATAATGTAGATCAATTTAATATTTTAGTTATGTATGACAGAAATTTATTTTATTATTTTAAACAAAATTATCCATGCAAATTAGTTTCTAAAATAATTTTATTTCGTATTTAATATTATAATTTTTGTATTTATCTTTATTTAAAATAATTTAAATATGTGATAATAAATCGTAAATTTTGACAATAATGAGATGATAAACAAATGTTTTATTTTATTAAAATGTTTTTATAAATCATAAAATATATAAGAAGTTATATATATTTATATATACGTCCTACACTAAGTAAAACTTCCAATTATTTATCAATCATAAACCGTATAGAAAAGAGTTTTAAAAAATCCAAGTTACTAATCTATACAGTAGACCATATATCAGATAAATTTGATTTTTGGTTAAATAAATGAGAGAAGGAGACACTTCCACACTATAAACAATATCTGTACAGGAGAAAATGAGCTAAAGTAGTTTAAACTTAGCTTAAATGAGGCCGAAAGATTGTATGTAAAACTAAAAGTGCATGTTTCCAAAGATGGAATAATCTAAATTCATTCCATGTTTCCGATTGTTACTATCTGCCAAAAATAACAAATTTTCAGTTAAAATTTCAAAATTTGTTCATTAGATAACCGACTAGCTCAAAATTTCGAAAGAAGAATACGTTACCTCCGATCACGAACAGTGATAATACTGCATTAATTCCAAATTTGGTCCAGATATCTTTCATGATAAGTTAATCCCGAAACTAATCTTTGTAACTTTTCCGAATTAAAAACCTGTACATTAAAACTTGAATTATCTTTGTAAAGTTCATTTGCGTTCGGATAAACAGAATCAAGTGAATAAACAATTTTTAAGCTACACCACGTTGGCAGAGATAATTTTAGATCACTATTCTAAGAATAACTCATTACCAAGCACAAGTTATAGTGCTTCACACCAGATGGTATTATTAACCCTTTAGAATCGACCTTCTTAACCCTTTTAACTTTTTTTAAAATTATGTTAACCCCTTAATTAATTGAAATTAAATAATTTTTTATAGGCCCTATACAGTAATTAAATGCATTAGCTGATAAGGCCATACTTCGATAATTCTCACTTGTAATAAAAAATATAAAAATATTTTTTTTATAAAAGCTTATATAAAAATTTTTGTATAATATTCATTTTATCGTCAAAAGAAACAGTATTAAAATTTTTGGTATTTATATTTTACTGTACAATGAAAACACAGGAAAAAATATGTAACTAATATTCCTATATGTATGTAGCCTACATTTACTGTACAGTACATTGTATATTTGTGTATTGTACAGTCGACCCCCTATAACACTGTTGATTATTACGTTTTATATGAATTCCATGTTGTACGAGTCACTTAGATTTTACAAATACGTGTGCCGGGCTGTGAACGGTTCATGTATTTGTAAAATCTAAGTGACTCGTACAACATGGAATTCATATAAAACGGAATAATCAA